TCTTGCCTCTAGTGACAAAAAGCTGGCATTCATGGACAAGAGGAAAAATATTCAGATATTAAAGAAAATAACAAAAAATGTATTCTTTCATTGAAGGCATGGGAAAAAAGAGAGTAAAAGTAAAAAAAAAAAGGAGAGCTAGCTGAGGCAGGATTCAGGGTGGTCCAATAAAATGCCTGCTGTGATGTAGCCACCTGCTCCTACGAGGCAAACAGAAGCACACCAGTACTAGTGTTTGTTTGCTGTGGCCAGTGCTCATCCCTATTGGAAGCTGCATTGCTGAGTGATGTGATGGTCCCTGGTGGAAGCAGTTCTGAGACCAGCGAGCAGGGAGGTTACAGAGTAGTGCCTTCTTCAGCATTACAGAAAAATCTCTGCTTTTTGAAGTAAAAGGAACTTGTTCCCTTGATGTGATGTCAGGCAAGCTTTGCCTGCAGTCATGATCACAGTAGCAGCTGCTGAATAGAACAAAATGTCAAACTGATCAGTAAATAATTATATTAAAAATTCGAGGAATACTTAACTGAACAATGGACTAAATGAAATGTTTGCGAAAAATAGAAGACTACTCCACCTGATGCTAATCAGCACAGAGTAGTTAGGGCAGTGCTAGGGAAAGGCAGATTTATTTTTTTTTCTGTGCCTAGTGCAAAGGGCTGCCGAGTGGGTATACTAAAAGAAGTTAGACAATAATTATTCAAGATGAACTGAAAAGCTGTCAGTGTAATTCAGCTTCACTTGCTCTAGAAGAAGTAGAGGGAGATATATATGCTTACATGTACTTATCATTCAAATAGTCTCATATGTCTTTAGAGAGAAATTTCATTTTTGGAAGTATGAACTGATTGTTAAGGTTAGAGGCAAAGAAGCATCTGAAACATTTCTGCTGTGTTGGAGAGCTGTGTGCACAAAGGGAGTGTGGATGTGCACATTAACTTTTAATAAGCTTGGAAATCATTGACATGCAAACAGCTCTTATTCCAGCCAGAGCCTGTACTTGCATTAGAGGCATATTATGCTGTGGTACAATCGTGAGATATCTCTGTTGAGCTAAGTGATACCATATTACCCCATGTATCACAAGAATTTACTTGATATCAGGCCATGGCTATGGGCCAGAATTGTTCAGCAGATCACCCCAAGAGTGCTAAGACTGAGTCCTGGGCAAAAAATGTTGATGTGTGATAGTGCATTATGACCTGTGTTTGACTCTTAACTGTTTGTGAATGTAAAGATATAGAAGAAGACTGTGTCTAGGACTCCCTGACTTACTCCATAATTTAGCTCCCCTGGGAAGCTCTGGAAGGACAGCAAGGGTTCAGCTTCAGCTCCATTCATACTGCAAAGTCAGGCAGACTGGAAGAAGTGGAGCAAACAGTCATTTCTATCTTTTGTTTGTATCAAATATTGGGAGAGAAGTTATTCCTACTGCAGCTCCAATCTGGCTCACCCGAGAAGTGCTAGAAATCTTTAACCAATCTGTTGTAGAGTTGTCAACACCGGCTTCTCATTGCATTTGATAACCCAACGGGAATAAAAAACATTAGCAGCTCAGATTACTAATGGAAAGTCCATCTTCTTTAAACCCCTTCCTGGGACTGACCTGGCCACCAGCCTAGTGAACTCTGGATTCTCATTCCCTCTGGATCCCAAAACTATTTTGGCATCTCTCCCTCCAAATTTGGTTACACTTTTCCTCTGTCACCCATGCCAACTCTTGTAGGGCTCACATGCTGTCCTGCTCTGCTTTGAGATCTAATGGGCCATGATCTGGTAGAGTGCTGTGGAGAAGAGGCAGCATTTTGGGGCATGGAGCATCCCCCTGCAGGCAGGCAGGCAGGCAGGCCTGGGATGTTCTGTGTGTACCTGCCTAAGTCTCTCTGCCTCCTGCCACCATGCTCCCAAACGAGAGAACCCAGCTAAGTAATTTTGAAACAGTTGTTGAGCTGACAACTAAAAGCCTTATAATTGGTTAACAAGCTCTGCTTTTATATTCACCCACTTAACCTCGGGGCAAGACGTGTCAAGTTTGCTGTACCTTACAGCAAATCCCAGAACAAACCTGGCAAAAAAGGCTGAATAGGGAGTTCAAAGAGAGGCTGGAGTGTGAGCTGTCATGAGAGTTAACAGATGTGCCTGTACAAGCCTAGCTATCCTTTATCACCACTGTTTCCTGCAAGAGATCCTTTGGTTTCCATTCTGTTATTTGTGGTGTTCATGCTAGCACATATAATCCAATTCAGTGATAACACACTTGCTGCATATGGTTTCTAAATTTGTTTCTTGCTTTGCTGCAATTAAAACATACAGGACGTTGAAAAAGTGAAGGAAGTCTCTTAGTACATACCCCAGTATGTGGCAGATAGGAATGGGACCCTTAGTAACACAATTATAATTCAGATAACTGTGAACACAGGCCACTAGGAAAGATCACAATTAGATTCAGGTGGTATTCAAACTATACAAAACATTTCAAATCATTGTAAGACTAGGAGGTATTGGAACGATTACATTTCCATGCCTTTAAGGTATAAAGAACTATGACTATCATTGAAATTCATGTTAAAATTAATGTTTAAGGTAAAACCTAGGCATAAAAGGAACTATGACTATCATTGAAATTCATGATGAAGTTCATGTTAAAATTCATGTTTAAGATACAACCTAAGCATAACTTAATTATGTCAAATATAAGCTCTAAATCTGAACATTCATCACGGGAATAAAACCAGAAAAGCATTTATCTTTTTTTTTTTTTCCTTTCCCTCTCCTTCATGCAACATCAGCTTCAAAAAACTATGACTGATCCACTCAGCCAGGTGTCAAGAAGCTAAGTACACATGAAGTGGCAGGAAAAAAGACAGAACATCTTGTGGCAGCATGTACCAGGAGTTTTGGCTGCTGTTCTGCTGAGGTGGGCTGAGTGGACATTGCAACGCAGCTGGCCAAAGCACAGGCAAAATGTCTGGAAAAGACACTTTTGGAGGGGTAGGGTAATACTGCTGGAAGCCCTGATATGCCAGAATTTGCCAGCAATTTTCTTGCAGATCTTGACCCAGATCTGTGGGAACCTTGAAATAATGAATGCAAACATTTGTGGTTTGTGGGTTGGGTTGAGAGAATTCAAACAACTTACAGAGTTTGACATGAAAAGTAACTTCAGTATTTCTTTAAGAATGGGTACTTTATTATGTATGATTTCTTGCCTAAAAATGCTGTGTGCTATATTCCAGAATAAAAAATACCATTACTTTTTGAAAGGGATGAATTAACCTAGGGTGAAGCTTGGCCCCATGCTGACAATATGTGTACATTTGGCCTGTTGGCAGGTCTCTAGAACAGAATGTGCAGGGAGAAAAGTACTCAACACTGAGAAGGGAATGACTGTAATTCACTTGTAGATGGAAAAGAATATACATATGGCTCAAAAATAACATGTAAATGCAGACTTAAGACTTAGAGAGGAAGAGTTTAGGAAAGGCATGTGACAACCTTAAGTATAATTCAATCTCAGGAGGCATTAATGAATAGCATAGAAGCCTGTAGCAAATTTAAATGCTGGCCACAGTAACTTCAGACTGGTTAGAAACTATTTTAATTTTTTTAAAAAAGCTTTTCAGGGAGGTATTTTAAAGCTTTAAGCACATAATTTAAACCAGAAATTACTTCCCTGACTGTCCCAGATAATTTTCTTCTCGACAGGGTATAGACACCACTGCTTCAATTATTGATCTTGAAAAAACCCAATTACTTCTTTTTGGGTTTTTATTTTTTCCTTCAAAAAATTCCATTTCCCCTTCATTTAGATTTTTCAGGGGGGAGAAGTGAAAGAATTTTATTTTACTGAGGCCCAAGAAATCTAACAGCCTGTCCTGCAGGTGGAGGTTGTCACAGAATCCATGAGGTTGGAAAATCCGACATATGACTGAACACCACCGTGTCAACTAAATTATAGTGTCAAATGCCACCTTCAGTTTTTCCTTAAGCACCTCCAGGGACGGCAATTCCCTTCATCAGCTTCCTTGGGCACCTCAGTCCCATGTCTAAAAACCCTTTCTATGGAGGAATTCCTTCTGATGTCCAACCCAAACCTCCCCTGCGGTAGCTTAAGACTTTATCCTCTCGTCCTGTCCCTGCTTATCAGAGGGAAAAAGCCACCCTCTACCTGGCTACAACCTCCTTTCAGGGACTTGTAGAGAACACCAAGGACCCTCCTGAGCCTCCTTTTCTCCAGGCTAAACAACTCCAGCTCCCCCAGCCACTCCTCACAGGACTTGTGCTCCAGACCCTTCTCCAGCTTTGTTGCCCTTCCCCGGACACGCTGCAGCCCCGCAATGTCCAGTCGGGCGGCCCTGGCGCTCCGGCCGTGCGAGCAGAGCCCGGGTTGGTGCCGGCCCGGCGCGCCGCTCCCCCGGCAGGGCGCTCCCGGCCCGAGGCGGTGGGCGGCGGGGGCCGGCCTGCCCGGCAGCCCAGCCCGTGCGCGGCGCCCGGCGAAGGCAGCGCGGCCCCAGCGCCCCGCGCCTGGCGGAGCCGCGGCCGGAGGGAATCCAGTCCGGGTTTTGGCGCCGGGGACCGGCGGCGGCGAGGAAGGGCGAGCGGGAGGGGACCGCGCGCAGCGCCCGACAGCCGGGCCGGGCCGGGCCGGGCCGGGCGGAGAGCCGGCGGAGAAGGAGGGCGCCGGGAGCAGGTGGGCGAGCGGCGGGGCGGCCACGCCGGCTGCGGGCCCGCCTGGCCGCGGTCGCGGGCCCCCATGGCCGCGGCGCGCCCGCCGCACACACCCACCGCCGCCCCCCGGTGAGCGCCGCCGCCGCCCCTTGGGCACCTCGGCGGGGCCGCTGCCCGCGGCCGGGGCTGAGCGCGCCGGGAGGCGGCCGGGCCGGGCCGGCCGGGCGGAGGCACCATGCAGGCGCGGCGCTTGGCCAAGCGCTCCAGCATGGGCAGCCGGCGGCTGAGCGCGGCGGCGCCGCAGGTGGACGCGGTCCGGCCCCCCAAGCCCGAGAGCGCCTGGAGGCCGCCCCGGCGGGAGGGCTCCGCTGCGGCGCTGGAGGAGGAGGACGAAGACGAGGACGTGGTGGTTGAGGTGGAGGAGGAAGAGGAGGAGGAGGAGGGCGGCCTGGGGAGCGCCCCCCCGGCACTGGCCGGCCACGGCAAGGGCCCCCTCCGGGGGAGCCTTAAGGTGCGTCCCGGGAGGGAGCGGGGGCGGGGGCGGTCGAGGGGCCCGGGCCGGGGAGCGGGGCCGGTGAGGCGGGCCGGGCCGTGCCGGGCCGGCGAGCGCCGGGGGCGGCCTGGGGCCGGCGGCGGGGCTGGGAGCGGGCTGGCACCGGGAGGCTGCGGGGGACTCCGGCGCCGGGCGGGCCGGCCGGCCCTCCGCATGTCCCAGGCGAAGCGGGCGGCGGGGGCGGCCGGCTAAAAGCGGGCGGGGGGCGTGGGGAGCCAGCGGGGTCTGAAGGAGTTTGAGCGCTGGGAGTGCAGACTTGGCCGGGTGAGGCGTGCGGCTGCCCGGGGTTGCTGAAGGATGTTCAGCCCGGCCGTGTGCGCAGAGGTGTTCGCAGAACTGTGCCTGCGGGGCGGGCGAGCTGCGGGGCCCGACAGGGATCCTGCGAGCGCGGGTGGCCGTGGCCAGGAGGCCTGGGTGGGAGACCTGTGGAAAGTTTGGGAATGCAGCCCTTCTGTGCAGAGGCCCGATTCAAATCCCATCGAAGCGTGCGCGGGCAGTGCGCTGAAATCGGTGCGGTTTGGAACAACCTGATGAACACACCCACTGGCTGAGATCCCGCAGATTTAGGCTTAATGATTTTATTATGAGGCATTTTCTGTAATTATTTTTTCCTTGGGATAACCAGGGTAGTAGGATTAAGTCTATGTATAGTAGTAGTACAGAGGATTCGTGTGATAGATGTGCGCTGGTTATGGAAAATAATGTATATGAAAGTTTAAAGGGTACCCCTTTTAATTGATTTTTATTTTTTCCAATCTAGGTAATAATTCTTACTTAATAAGAGTTCAGGGTTGGATAGTTAGGAGTGCTGTATTACCACCGGGGTCTTTCCTGTATCCACAGATGAGAAGAAGAAGGAAACAAATCCAAAACAAACAGTACAGAAAGGAAAATAGCAGCAGAAATGCACGTTATTCCCATATTACTTCAGAGCAGTTTTGTTACAGCACTGAGAGAATCAGAGAGACTGTAGCTCTTCACTGAGTCTGTCAAATACCATGAGTTGTGGTTATGGTGTCTGGGTCAGACCATCCATGGTACTGAGGCCTGACAGGCTGAAACAGCTTTTCTGCTACAGAACCAGCCCTTGACACTTGAGTGGCCTTAGGATGAAGAGCACCATGATGGCCTGCTGGTCCCATCATTCTCCCCTTAGTAATGAAGGTCTTAAGTGGTAGAGGAGGCTTAGAGGAGCTTCCTCAGTGTACCTAATAGGAAAAAAGAGTGAAATTCTCAAGTGGAGCACAATGAACTGAAATATAACAGGATTACGTAGGTATGATCTGCATATAACATGGGAGGGTACTGTCCTCTTTGTCAACCCTCAACGTGCTTTCCAGTAGCAGGACTGTTAGAGGTTGCTGGTATTTCTGCCTTACACCTAGGAGTATGTGTACACACCGAAATATTGTGCTTGCATGTATTTACTTCCTTGAATAGTAAACCTACTTCAGAGATTAGTGTAGTAATGCCTGTTGGGCTACACTTACTGTACATAATAAACTGTCAAGTCACCGTTGATAACCAGGTGCACATATTTACCCTCTGGAGGAATGTTTCTAACTGTCATTGCCTCGGTTTCTGCTTTCTCTGTTTGTACTTTTGAGTGTTATAAACTGGGAGGGCTTAAAATTTAACATTGTAAATAAATTACCTTTGATTTTTGTGTATTTCTTTAGAGACTGTGAGTGTGGGAGTTCTCGAAGCTTAATGGGAGGGTTCTTCCAAGTAATTTTAAAGCAACAGATTAAACTTCTCTGCCCTTGGCATTGTATTTGTGAGTGTTTTAAGCCTGAAGTGACTGAATGTAAAAGTGCTTCCCAAAAGTAGCTCTGGCTGTGTGGCCCTGAGTGTGTCAGAAGGTGGGTTTTCCAAGCAGGTTGTGTTTCTGTTAATGAGAGAATCAGGCATAAATTGATTACTGAGGTCCAATTGCAAGGCACTGGGAGGGTAATAGAACTGGTGCAGTCTGGTTGTGGTTTGTCAGCTGGAATTCCTTCCAAATGGAGAGGTGACATGGAGCCAGCAGCATCTGACTCCCAGACACAGACTTCTGTATTGGGGACTGGGAGCAAAGTTACTGAAGGGGTGTCCCCTCCTGAGAGATGGCATAGATTGTTGCATTGACCAATACCTTCATAACAAGAGACATCCTAAAGAGCTTCAGAATTTATTTGGACTTGAAAGCAAAGTGATCTGGGTTTTGCAGTGTGTGCTGTCTGGATAGTGCAGTTAAGAAGCATCACACGGTGTTCTGGTGTGTATTCACATGCACACTTGATGTCTGTGCCCTTGGGTGGAATGGCACTTCAAAGCTACAGATTTCAGGGGCTTGTGACAGTCACTTCTGTGGACTGCCTGTGATACATAGATGAAAGCATCATAGGGTCAGCAGTGGAATTAATATCATTAACAGGTGCCTGAGAATTTGGTCCACTAGTCAAAATCAGCAAAGTACTGGCACTATCAGGTCTTAGAGACATATTCTCTGCTCCAGAAAGGAGTCCACTCTGTGGCTGTGCCTTTGGTAGTCTAGTTTTGACCCTCACTCTTAAGCAAGGGAATAGAGAGGATGAAGTACTTTATAAAGATAAATATTATTTCTCCATTTTCTGAAGTTGTGGGAAGACAGAACATATATGACAAAAAAGAGAAGACTGGTGGCCATGGGTAAGATACAAAAATTGTGTCTGCATGTTGCTGTAGCTGTGTAGCAGTCCAGGAGGAGAACACATTTTTGTTTTCTCTTCTCCCCTGCTGTGCTACCGTGCTGGAAGAGGCACCAGTATGCTGCGTGTTGCTGGTGGGTCATGGCAGAATAGCCAGAGAGTCTTGGAGAGCCTGTAAAGCCTTGTTGGGAAGTGCTGTGTCTTCTTACTTAGTCAGAACTAGTTCATTAATCTCTGTATGGAAACGAATTACACCAAGGTGCTGATTATGCAGACTCATTTTGCACATGAAACCCTTTTTGTGCAGCCCGTATTTGCTTTGGCTGCATTTGGGTTTTCAGCCATTTAAAATGAGATGAAAAAGTATAAATAGTGTAATTGCTAGTACTTTGTCTTGAAGCATGGGTTATTTTGCAGTCCTGTTTAATTCATCTTTAGTATGCAGCCTAGTTCAGATAGCACAGCCACGGTTGTACCAGGCTGGGGTTGATGTAGTCTGTGGAAACTGTTGAGTTTGATGATGGGGAAGGGAGTTTTGAAGTAGGGTCCATCAGCAGTCTCCAATGCTGACTTTATCAATACTTGGAAGAAAACCCCACTGCAAGTAGCAGAATTATGCTAATTTGTCTGTAAACCATCAGGGTGCTATGATTGAGAATGTGGGCTAGTAGTGAACATGGGCTTGTGATAACATGCCAGCATGTTGCAATGTTTTCTCTGCTGTTATGAATAGTACAGGGGTTGGTGCTTTCTTCTGTTCAGCTCAGTGGAGTTGTCAGTTTATTTCCAGCCCAGTTTCTGTTCCCAGGCTGAGAGTATGGACACAGGACATTCCTAACCCTCCTTACCCATGGAACTACCTGTTCCACATAGTGGCTTGTTTGTGAGCACCTCTTTGTTGTTCAGAAGGATGAATTTCCCACAAGTGGATTTGGTCCTGCAAATACATAGGTCCCCAAATGATGGAAAATGGTCTTATGAAGAGTCTGAAAACTAAAGGCCCAGAGAGCTGTGCAGTGATGGTAGGGGAATACAAAAGCCCAAGCAGTGTAAGCAAGACTTTAACTTCATGCTTACACTTTAACAGTGGGTAAAGTTTCACCCACCTTGTGAAGTGAAATTTGTGACAGGTACAAAGTAAGGGACATGTACAAGTCTAATCCAGAGGTTTCAGAGTGGAGATGGCACACATTGGTAGGAGTTAGTGAAAAATTATACTTTTGGACACAGTTTTTTTGGTTTGTTGTGTTTTGGGTTGATTTTTTCACCTTTTTTTTTGTTTGTTTGTTTTTTAAAGATAAAGACATCTGTGTGATATATGGGATGCAGAAGATATATGGGATGCACATCTTTAGAGCTTGTGTGGAAGAAATCAGTTGCCTTTTAGTTATGTGTTGTTCAACTGTGTTGAATTCACCCTCTTCTCTTTTCCTCCTTCTTTCTAAAGCCAGTGTGAATTCATTGCTGTCCTTTAAATCAGACTTTCAGCTTTGCTATTTGAATGGGCTATATACTCATTGTGGACAAAAAAGTGGGGTTTTCTGCTTGATTAGGAGGTGTTATTTAATTTAGCTTTCATGTGTGTGTGTAAATGTATTTTCAGAGGCAATTTGCAAAATACAAGCTTCAAATACCAGATTTGCTTAGTGGAGGATAGACCTTGCAAGATACATTAGGAACTTTAAAAAAAAATAAAATGTTCCCTTTCAGACTAATAATGATAGTGTTATTTTTATAAGTACTGCTAGTTATTAGAACACCAGAACTCATGTCCTGAACTTGGAGCCTGTTAGGCTAGGCTATGTACAAACAAGCATGATCCTGATCTGTCCAATTCTACAAAGAGTAACACAAGATATGAATGGACACTGATGGACTGTGAGGAACAACTAAAGGGTGAGATGAGAGAGGCAGATAAACACCAGCAGCTTAGCTATATTTTTGTAAGTAGAGAAAGTTAATTAATTTTTAAATTTCAAACTTCATTTGGCTGCTTCTTGTTCTTGAGTGAAAACCTGTCTAGTGAAGTTGGTGTGGAAAATTCATGGCTAGACTTGGGATTTTTTTTCTTTTCTTCCTTTTAAAAAAGTTTAAAAAGTTTATACCTAATATGAATTACTGGAGGCAGAGATGGGGGAGGTGAGAAAATAAGATAGTATTTTTTGTCCACTCTCCCCTAATAAAGAATGAATGGGACTAATTTGCTGGGGTTTTTTAATGTAATTTTGTTGTTGTTGTTTGGACACAAACCAAACAAAACCACTTTGCCTTTAAAAGGAGTAGGATTAG